AGCAAGTCTGTGAAACAGAGTAAACAAAATACTGGCCATAGCTGCTATAGCTGCTGACGAAATGGGGCTCTAAAAATTCCAAAAGAAATTCCCTCCCGACATAGAGCAGAAAGGACAGCGATGGAAAGTGAGAGAAGCGGTGGTTCCCAGCCACATCTGGCTGCACGCTGAGACCATGTCCCCAAGACCATGTCCCGTCCTGTGAGGACGGGAGACCTGCAGGGGCTGTCGAAAGGAGGTCCAGCAGGGCACCTCTCTGCTTGTTAGAGCTTCAAGCAGCTTCGAAACGCTGTCACTGTGGTCGGGGGCTTTAAACAAGGAAGCCAGTTCTTACCTCCTGTTTTTGGTCTTTTTTTTTTTTTTTTTAAGATTTATTTATTACATATAGTGTTCTGCCTGCATGTGTGCCTGCAGGTCAGAAGAGGGCGCCAGATCTCATTACAGATGGTTGTGAGCCACCATGTGGTTGCTGGGAATTGAACTCAGGACCTTTGGAAGAGCAAGTAGTGCTCTTAACCTCTGAGCAATCTTTCCAGCCCCACTGTTTTTGGTCTTTCTACCAACTTTTCTGTCACACTTGGGATGGTCTGGTGTAGCCACTGTGGCATGAGAACAGCATCAGTCCTGTCCATGGGCATGGGGAAAGCTTGAAATAGTTTCTCATTTGGGAGGTCTAGCCATTTGGTTAGTTAACTGTGGTTTTCAGGCCCTGTTGATGAAATGCTAATTGTCTTCTCGTTGTTAGGTCCTGTCTCAGGTGCTTGCTGACCAGCACTTTGGAGAGTGTCCTTGTCTGGCATGTCCATAACAGAAAGAACTGTGTGTTCCCTTTCTGCTGCACTGGGAAGCAGTTTCCCCCTCTAGCTAGTGCAGTACAATAAGCTGCTTTATCATGAATTAATAATAGTGTTAGGTAAGAGTGACTTGAAATCCAGACTGCAACTAGGATGAGGACAGAACAGAAGACTCCATTAGGAAAGGACTGAAACTTCTTCAGTTTGCCTTATAAAGGGTTTTAAGAATTGTCCTGTCTTTTTTATGGAACACAAAAAGTAAAAAGATTATTTATTTGATTTGTTTGCTTACAAAAACCTATGCTTCTGGTGGACTAAATGGAATGCAGGGGGAAATATTTGGGAAATTTAGTTTATTTCTTTATTCTTTAAGATTTATCTGACTTTGAAACCTAGCAAAGGGTTTGTTTTCTTGTCCTGAGGATTCCTGGTCCTTCTCTTCACATGGACTCAGCAATGCTGTTAGGAGCCGTTCTCTTAGATTTACAGAGCTTGCATTCCCGTAAATGTTGAATAAGTTCTTTTGTCAAGATGGCAGTTACAGAGCCAACAAATGTGCTTGTGGGGATTGGATACTTATTTGAATAGCAAGCCAAGTTCTTCTTTTCTTTTTAACTTAATTATTTCTCTTTTGAGAATTTCATATATGAATACTATATTTACATCATTTTTCCTTTAATTCCTCCCATGACCCCTTCTCAAATCCATACCCTTATTTTTTTAATTATTATTGTTACATGTATGTATATATAAATTTATAAATACCACCTGCCAAGGTCATATGGTTTTGCTTATATGTGGTTAGGGCTGACCTCTTTTTGAGAAGGTCTCGTGTGGCTGAGCCTATTGCTCAAACCCTGCCTTCACCCCCAAGTGCTGGGATTGCAGCTAGTGTATGCTGCTGCCACCAGCGTGCACCTAGGTGGAGAAAACATTTTTTTTCTCTTTTTTAATTAATTAATTAATTAGTTTTATGTGTGTAGGTGTTACCTGCATGTATGTCTGTGTCTTGTCTGTATATAGAGACCAGAAGAGATGTCCTGGAACTGAGTTACAGATGATAGTGAGCCATTATGTGGGTGCTAGGAATCGAACCTCAGTCTTTTGTGTGCTATCAACCACACAGCCATCTCTCCAACCTTCCAATTAAATATTTTTAAAAATTTCTTTTAATTTGTATATGTGTTGGTACTTGACCTGCATGTCTTTGTGAGGGAGTTGGATCTAGTGGGTCTTTCGTTACAGACAGTTGTGAGCTGCCATCTGGGTGCTGGGAATTGAACCTAGATCCTTTGGAAGAGCAGCCAATGTTCTTAATCACTAAGCCATCTCTCCAGCACCCCCCTAGTTAAATTTTTTTTAAAAAAGAATAACATACAAATAATATATACCTCTCACTACATCACTGTGAGACTGTTTGTCTGATTGTTTCTGCCACAGAGTTTGGTTATGACTCATGTCACCTATTAAAAGGATATTACTCAGATGGGGTTTCTTAAACTGTTCCCATTTGTGACCCCTTTTTACTCAAGAAATTCTTATGCAATCCCAAATATATAAAATAGGTATACATGTTAAACATTTATTGATAATAAGTCATTAATAGTTTATTTTAAAATAATCTTTGATGTACAAATATTTTTACTACTTATTAAAGATGAAAGCAAATATGCATCCCAACAGATGGATGTGCTTGAATTGGTACAATCCAACTCAAAGATACTAATTTGATATTACATGCTGAGAAATGGCAGTAGGAAAATATTAAGTTCCCGTTGTATGTCCCCAAAGCAGAAAACTTTGTATGTGCAGCAAAACCCTGCTTGTGGTAGTGTGCAGTAGCCTTCAGTCTGAGCCAAGGGGTTGCAGGCCGTCCTGTTTGGGTGCTTGGTATGAAGGCATGCACAGTCAAGTGGACACGTGTGCCCAGAACCAAGGCCTCAGCAGAGTTCCTTATATAACATGACATGGCCAGCACCGCCAGGACACTGAGTTCCTTATGAGTCGATAGTTGAACAGATTTGGGGCCATTGTGCATTCAGAAACCATCACTGCTGCTTAGTTTCTCTCTACACTACTCAGTTTTGGGTTATGATAACCCGGTTAAAGCTTTGTTGGGAAGGTCCTTTCTCCTTTCCTGGTAGGCAGTCTGGGGTGGTTCTGGGGACCATTTTCTCAAGAACTTTTCACCTAGAGTTTTTAATTTCTCTGGTGCTTTGGTCCTGTGTTCTGTTGATAGAGGTCCATGTATCTGTGAGAACCTAAGAAACATACTTCCCATGGATACTGGCCATGACCTGCTCCCTCCAGATACTAAAAAGGCCATCTCTCTCTGCTGTTTGGGCGCTTCACACAAGTTCCCAAGTGTCAGAAAACATGTCACAAGCATCGGGTTTCCAGAAGCTTGTCTGGTTTTCCTTATTATCTAGTCCAGCATCATGTAGACTGGGTACTTAACTTTCGTTCTTTGTTTGAGAACAGTTTGTTCTGGCCTTTCACTACGCTGAGACAAACATTTGGACTTTTCATTCTGGTATAAACTGTGCTAGAAAATCAAGAATGGGGGCTTGGCCCTTGGATTTTGGTGTTGTCTTTGAAGATCTTTCAGCACAGCAGGTTTCTCACACTGAAGACATCTTAGCTCCTTTGGAAATGAGCTGAAACACTACATTCCGGTTGTCTACTCATTAGTTCTAGCAGTAGAATGGTTTTTCACAGTACAGAAGTGGTTTTGTTTGGTTTTGACTGTAAACGGAGTACCCAGGAGTCTGTTCTTACCTATGTGGAATAGCTTTAGACGTGGTCAGTTCTCAGCTGCGTTTTGTAGTATCTTTAACCTCAGTACCCAGGAGGCTGAGGCAAGAGAATGTCTATTTGAGGCCAGTCTGGGCTACATAAGAACCTGTTTCAGGAAATGGCTAATTCTTCACTTTCCCTGCTCAGTCACAGAACAGTATAAAGTCAATCATAGCAGTAGACAAGTGTGTTTTGGTTAGCCTGTTAATTACTGGTAATATTTTTTAGCCTTGCATGAAGAAGTGTCAGGTGACATTAGCAATAAGAGCTACTCATGTAGCCGGGTGTGGTGGCACACACCTTTAACCTCAGCAGAGGCAGGAGGATCTCCGTGAGTTCAGAGGCCAGCCTGGACTGTTAACGCAGAAAAACCCTATCTTGTTCTCTAGTACCTGCTAAAGACTGAACATGAACATAACCCGTGTTCTCAAAGACCCTTGAAATCTACCAGGAATGCCTCCTAAATATCAACATTCAACTAAGAGCCAAGGAAGGAGGAAAAAATGGGCAGAATGACTCGTATGCACGCAGTGGAGCGGGCGTGTGTGTGTGGGGGGGGCGAGAAGGCTATCACAGCGTGGGTGTGGGAAAGGACTTGGTTAGTTTGACCTGTGTGGTGTGTGCAGAGAAGTAGCAGAGGCTAGATCTGAAAGACAGGGCAGCATCCTACTGTGAGAGAGACATTGAGTGCTGTGGGAAAGTGAATTTTGTTCTCTCCTTTTTTGTGTGTGGGGACTGATTTTGTTTTGGTTTTCTTTTTCTTTTTTCTTGAGAAGGTATCTCCTGCCCCAGGCTAACTTGGAACTCATTATGTAATCCAGATTGGCCTTGACTTTGCAACTCTCCTGCCTCTACCCCTGAGTTCTGGGATCATAGGCATGAGCCACCACACCCAGCCCCTCAGACCTCCTTCTGTAGTTGTTTGAAGTGAGCAGTGGAAAGTGTCGTCTTCCAGAAGGTCCAGAGGTGACGACAGGTGCTTGCGTTTTTGAGCGGTGGTCTCTGCTGTTCCTTAGCTGTCACCTCTCTGATGCCTGACTGATAACTTCCTGTCTTCAGCAGAGCACCTGAGAAGCTCCTAGTTCTCTCAAAAGACTATGGCTGCTGTAGGAGAAGCATGCTGTAGTGTTGTGAGAGGGCAGCTTCTCCCTGTGCAGCTGTGTTAGGGAATATAATTACCAGCAGCCCGGACTGGTACTACCCTCTAATCTAGGGCCAGGGCTAGACGGGAAATTGAAGAACTGGGTGATGTTTTATTTACCTGTCTGATGACATCAATACATGCACGAAGTGAACACTTTTGTTATTACTTCTGATGTTTTAACTCTATTAGTCTTATGTAAGCTCGGGGTTTTTCAGGTGCATTCGGAAATGATATTTTCACGGAAGAAAACACCTTTCTGTCGGCAGGTTTTCTACTCACAAAAGACAATGACTACTGATGAAGGCAGCAGCGACAATGGAGAAAACCCGGCCGCCGCCGTGGCTGAGCAGGGAGAAGACATCACCACCAGGAAAGATAGAGGAGTGCTAAAGGTAAGGCCACAGCTGTATAACGTCGGGGGACTGCTGGGTGGGAGGGGAAGGGTGGCCGGTGTTTTTAAACTAATGCTAAGTAGCAGACACTACATACAGCTCAGTTCTCATCTGTCTTCATAATGGGGCTGTTCATCTCAGATCGTACGTGCAGCTGAGGCTGGGCTGGGTAAAGTGACTCGCCCTGGTCACTCACACCTTAGGCCCTAGAGAACAGCACAAGTTACGCTGGATTCCAACAGGCTGCACCCGTACCTCAGCATGTACGTGTGAATTGCTGTCTTAATGTACTGTGTGAGTGTACTGAAGCTACCCAGTGACTGTGCTAAGGACTTGCCGGAGGGAAGGCAGAGGACTTAGTTTTTATATACAAGTACTGTCTCTGTGTCATGATGTAGGAGCACAGCCATCATGTGTTTGGGTCATCTTTCCCATTTATTTAAAGCACAATAAATACCTTTTCATGTGTGTGTGTGTGTGTTGCATGCATGTGTGCACACATATGCATGTGGACTTGCCCTCTGTCTGCATATCTTCCTCAATCACTTCTCTGCCTTATTTTTCTGCAAGACAGGGGCTTTTATCAACCTGGAGGCTACAGTTTTGGTAAGGCCGTGTAGCTAGCCAGCGCCTGGGATCCACTCGTCCCTGTCCCCAGCACTGGGGTCGCAGACACACTCTGTCACGATCAGGATTTACATAGGTCTTGGGGATCTGAACCTGGGTTCTCCTGCTTGCTCAGCATGCACTTTACCCCGTGAGCCGTCTCCTCAAACTCCTCACATGCTTTCCTTGGCAGCTCAGCAACAGTGTTACGGAGACAGCACCCTTTTAACGATGGTGGCACTGGGGTGGTACTTAGGGCCTCATCCATTCTAGACAACATTATCACCAGCTCTGTATTTTTGAGACAAAGTCTCACTAAGTTGCCCAGGCTGGCCTTGAACCTGCCATCCTCCTGCCTTAGTCTCCTAAGTAGTTGGGATTGTAGGACTGTGCCACCAGGGTATGCCAAATTCTCCCACTTCATAGGTGAATTGGCCGAAACGAAGAGGTTAAATGACTTGAACACATTAACTAGTTACTTGTCCCACACTGTTGTCACACATGTTTTATGTAGTTAATTTTTCTCTGATGAGCTTATTTTGCATATTCTCAGTGTTCCTGCCAGGTAGAAATTCGGCAGCTCTTGTGTCGGCCCTGCTGGGTTGGTTCTGTCTCTCCTTGCTCATGTGGAAGCCTCTCCTCTGTGCTGGTCTCCTGAACGTCTCTGGATTCCTGTTGTCTCCCTCTGTGCTGTCAGTCCATGGTGTCTTCTTCCTGGGCTTCTCAGCCTTGGAACTCTGATTGCTCATCCAGAGCTCCAGGAAACTTCTCAAGACCCTGGAGAGTTTCCAGGCTGTCTGCAGCATCTCCCACCTTCTCTTCAGTATGCCAGATTCAGAGACCTGGCCTCCAAGGTCCCTCAGACCCTGTGTGTTCTGTAACAGAGTCCTGGGTGGTTCATAAAAGAGGTGTTTGTTTTGGCTCACAGGTCTAGAGCCTGAGAAGTCCAAGAACGTGGCACGCCTGCCTCTCCTCGCTTCTAGCAAGGGCTCAGTTCACTGTAGAAAGCAGAAGGGCAGTCAGGCAGTCTGGGAGGCAAACACAAGGAGTGGGCAAGATTTTTACAACTTGTATGATGAACCCAGTCCCTCTACCAGGAGCTCACACAAGCAAGGCATTGATTCCACCTAACTGCCTACTTCCTCTTGAAGGCATCGTGTCCCAACACTGGCCCAGTAGCAGTCAGATTTCAGCATTAGCTTTAGATAGGACAGATCATATGCATGCTTTATCCAGACCACAGCATCCCTCTACTGGGAGTGTACATTGCCGCCTAGCCTGCTCAGAGCCCTCTAAATAAACAGACAGTAAACTATAGTCTCCTTTGTTCTAGGGAGTAAATCTAAAAACAATGAGTTTTAAGCCAATTATAAATGTTTGTGGTTTGAAGTTCTTTAGGTCGTAACATCTGTTACTGTCTAGATCCTCCAAGTTACCACGGGGCTTTTGGTGAAGATTCAGTGGGTCTGGCAGCTGTGACCTGGAGCATTTGTTAACCTCCCTGGGTTGTTTTCTGTCTGTAAAATTTATAATAATACTAATCAAGAAAAGTAAAAGTTTGGGTTTGCATTTTTTTCAAATTAATTAAGACTAGATTTTTGTCTTTAAGGCAACTTAAGACTTATGCACAAGTTTCATCTTGCTGGCGAGACAGACACACACACACAGGAGCACACATGCATATCCCACCCCCACTCCAGAGTGATGCTGTAGCATCTGTTTCCATTGCAGACGGCCATCTGACTCCCACAGTCCCATCCCATGGGCTTGGGTGTTCTTAGTCGTCCTAAAGTGCAGATCCCCACCCATGACTGCCACCGGCCTAGTGTCACGTGCAAGTTAGGGACCAGAGCCTCTCGGATTTCATACGGGTTTTTTTTTTTTTTT